CTCATACAACAATGTACTTGAAATATCTGATTGTGTATAGCAGTGGATTTATGAGATTACAATATGAATGTATTCTTGTCATAAGTCCTAGAGGACCAGATTGATAAGGGAATAATTCATGTTCAATCTAGAATAATAAGATAAATGACAACGATTTATGGACCAAATAGAAGCTTAGAAATTCCAATAGTCGAAATCATGAGTCAATTGAAGCTAGACCACCATGGAAACCCGGGAGCACTGGATGGCTGTTTCTTCCCATAGTGGGACTCCTCAGTAGTGTGCATCTAAGACCCCATCTCGCAAGATTCGAACCTAGGACCTATCGGTCTCGCATGCGAGCTCTTAACCACTAGATCATTGAGTCTACATCCAATGGTGTTCATATCTAACTTCAACCAACCCACGAAATTGAGTGACACATCCACCAATGTCTACTATCTCACAATAGGGCGAAATGACCGTCCAATGCTTCTAGGTTTTCCATGATGGTCTAGATTCAATAGACTCATGATCTCAACTATTGACAATAAATTACTGTTTTCTTTCATTCATTGTACAAATAAGAGAATAATTAAAATGTTTAAATGCATTTTATTCTATTAACTTTTATATACATATAACATAAACATCAACACGACAGAATTAAACTGAGGTGTCTAGACATATGCGTGACACTATCAAGACCTCGATAACTATCTATATACATAATATAAATGTATAGTTCTTTTTTAATATATCAACAAAGTCATAGTATATGAGGTATTATTATTCGTTTTACTTCACGCTTACTACTACTACTACTACTACTTTCATTACTACTATTAGTAGTATTACTAAAGTCTAAGGTGTTAGAAAATTCTGCATACATGCATACATATATACATCGATCAACATATATCGAATTAATAGTGACCGAATAACTTAGAATTCATTTTCAATTCACTAGAATAATCAACGTGTAAATTTACACTATATAAAACTACATTTTGTTCTTTCTTTTCATTTTCTTTCTTTTTTTTTAATTTTTTCTTTTGTGAGTAAAATTTTTTTTATGTAAATTAGATGAAAAGAAAATTGATAATCTAAGAAAAAAGTAAAGGAGAATATTAACGTTTTCATTCATTCATTCATTCTTTCTTGATATATCTATTTTTCATGCATGAAAAATTAATTAGTTGACCGAAAAATTTCATTCCTTTTTTTTTGGTTCTTTTCTTTATAGGTCAAATAACAGTTTTAAGAAATGGTCGGTAATATTGATTTTGAGTGATTTTAGTAAAAGTGTACAGTGTTATTTTTTTTTCTTTCCCTCCCTCTCTCTCTCTCTCTTTTACTTTCACTCTCTGAACAAAAAGCTCATTTGGCTTTGACCAAATTACGTCAGTAGTTATGGCAAAAGCGAGATATTAATTAATCAATTAAGGATAAGTATATTGTGCGGTAGTTTGTTCTGTTTGACTTGGCCATTATGAGTAGAAGATACTCGTAAGCTATTAGTATTTGACAACAGATGCCTTAGAAATATTGCTCGTATTTGCTGGGATCACTGGGTAATCAATAATGAGGTTAGACGTAGGGTATTAGGGAATGATGGTCAATCAGTTGATGAGATTGTAAATCTTCATCGACTGAGATGGTTGGGCCACGTTGTTGTGTTGCGTATGTCTGAACACCGATTAACACGACGTGCAATGTTGACTAGTGTTGGGGATGGTTGGAAAGAAGTTAGAGGTGGCCAAACCAAAAAAACGTGACATCATTGCTTGAAGTGACTAAGTTCTAGTGTGAGTCATGTTGTTAGATGCAGACTACTTGGTTTGTGTTCGCGTGACTATCGTACACAATGATTAGAGACTGTGTCTGATATATGGCTGAGAGTCGATCTCAATGCCGTAGGTGTATACATCCTTTGTCTTAACTTAAACTGTGAGCTGAAAATTGCTTTATATCTTTCTTTCTGTCAACTAATTCTTTCTTCCTGTACTATATCCTTATACACAATCTTTTACATATTACCACCACTGAATTAACTATAAAATGATTGACTATAAAGTCATCTTCACCTTATTAGATCATACAATTTAGATCGAACCTGTTAAACCATTGATTGATTACTGATCCGAGATATATAGTTAGTTATAGGTAATATGGAATCTGGAGTATGTGTACATCGGTTCAAGTTGCCCCATTATATCAATCCAACAAGATCAACTTATAAAGACAAATCTCATAATAGGGGAAGTTGGAACAGTATTAGTGATAGTAGAAAAGACTAGGCATGGATAATATGATTATAGAAGAAGGAATGAATTTTAAGATAATTTTTGAACATAAGATCCACTAGAAGATGTACATTGAATAAAGGGATCTTAAGGGTAACAGTGATATATGTGATGCTATCTACTTCCCATTTATTAGCACTATGAAAGGATGCTTCTTTTGGCAGCTGAAAAAGAAATCATTTCAAGTGTTGATCTTGACCGCCTGAGGATATGATTATAGAAACTGACAGATGACTGCTTGAGGCTGGTTATACTCATCGTTTTTATGAATTATTTTCAAATGTTCTAAAGGAAGACAAGTGGTGAGCGCGTCTACGTCATTGCAGCAGGTTCTGAACCATATCACCCAAAATCCCTAACCATTGGTTACGATAATCTTGTAAGCCCTAAACAGATAGTCTATACTTACTATCATGGCTCAATTCAACATTCACTGACTTCATGCACTGCTTTATGCAGTACAGAGCGTGAACTAATTAGATTGAATACTGAGTGTACGGTACCAGAAGTAGGATAACTCATAGTTGTGTTTACGCTGACACATATATATCCTTCCGTTGGCTGGATAAACTTGTTTGGATTGATTTACTAACTCAAAGTATAACCAGATAATTGAGACTATGAATTGATGGGTGTTAGACCACCATTGAAAACGTGGGAGCACTAGATGGCCTTTTCGTCCCAGTGTCGGACTCCTCAGCAGTGCGCATCCACGATTTCGCAGGGGATTCGAACCCAAGACCTTAGGTCTCGCAGGCTAAAGTCTAACATTCAGACCACTGGGCCGATATCCAGTAATGTTCAGGTATTCAGATCAACACTTTCTGTATATGTCTTCATTGAAACTGGTTTATTCAAGGAGCTAAATCATTACTTAAGTATTTCTTGAGAATCCATGAGAATTAATGCTTACTCGTCACAAATAGACCATCCGGATATATTTGGAAAGTATTAGGTAGCTGTTTCGTCCTAGTATGGGACTTCTTATCAGCACACACTTAGGTCTATGTATATTTTTAAATAGGAAAGCTTTAAACCCAACTAAAAGCATGATTTCTTTAAACTAGTAAACTAAAAGCCGTTAATTTCAGTTAGGTCAACCTGGTGTATATGATTTCATAGGTGTACAGTACTAACTATATATGACAATAAAAGGTTTAACACTTTCATTGGTTCTCTGAGTGATGTTATTTCACACCAGAAGCTATTTCCGAACTTGATAAATCACTCAATAAAACATTTTATACGATTAAAAAAATCGTATATTCGTATACCCGTGAAAATTAGAAAGGACTGGATAAATGTTTCTCTTAATGAGGGAAAAATGAACAGTCTGTATCCAAGAAAGTCATAGATTTCTGAGATATTCTGTAACTAGTTAACTAAAGAAACATGGTACCTCATTCATTTAGTCTGAAAGTAACCTTGCTGAATCTGATATGGTCTTAGAAACCAAAAATTATTAGACATCTTTTTCATCATTTTTTTCCCATCTTATGCTCAATCAAGCAAGATCTTAAAAGGAATCAAGCTTTATATGTGTCATTTTTAATATTCACATGAGCACAAATGTTGATCAATCTCACATTCATTCGTTAATCAACTTCTCACCTACTAAAAATTAACTTGCTTTTTGAATTTCAGTAGCCTTTTCAAACATTTAGACCGTCTACTTTTCAAATTGTGCAAATATTCCATGTAACCTTTATGGTTTAGTTTCATCTAATTAATTATGAATGCTAAATTGTATGTACCCACGTATCATTATTATTAGAAAAAAACAAGCTTCAGACTTACTGCAATACGAGGAAACACCTACAGTTTTTGGCATATTTTCTTCTTTACCTATTCTTTAGGAAAAAAACCACAAAAGAATAGATTACAATTTATACATTTTTATACTTGAATGAATGAGTGGGAAATCATACTGGGTAACAGCTGAACTAGTAGAAATGTTTCATAATTGAGAATAGATTTCTATAAATAAATACGATCTGAATACAATGGGGGTGTGTGGAGATTGTAGTAGTTTTAATAGTTGAATTCATGAGTCAATCTAAGCTATATCGCTATGAAAAACCTAAAAGCACTGGACGGCCATTTTGTCCCAGTATCGAATTCCTCAATATTGCACCTCCGCGATCCCGTACATAGGACTCGAAATCTAGACCTTCGGTTTCATGCGCGAGTGCTTAACTTCTAGACCATTGAGCCGACATAACTAACTTCAACCAATCTATGATATTGCACGGCTGTCCGTCATTGTCTTCAGTGAGTTACTACCTCACAACAGACACGGTTAAACTCCACTGGTCACGGATGTGCACTGCTTAGGATGAAACAGACATCCAATGCTTCCAGGTTTTCAATGGTGGTCTAGCTTAAATCGATTCATGAATCCAACGGTTAGAAAAGAAATTCCTCTAAATATCATACAATTGATGCTGAAAAATTTTCTACTGTAACAAAATTTCAAGCGTTAATTAAACCTATTATTATTCCTGCTTTGGTTTGGGCACCATGGTAGTATCTCAGTCCTCACACAAATTGGATGATTATGTGGCGCATGTCTATTTGGTGCCTCCTTTGTACCAATGTTTATGTGTTTAAATAAATAAAATTGTTATAATCACATTATTTCCATAAATTTATTCATTTTTTTTTCTAATCAAATTCAAGTGTTCAACTAATTGATTTCAATTAAATGTAACTACAATGTTAACTCAATCACCTGTACAAGAAACTTCATTAAATTATCAACATGTAAATTCAACAACAAAACGACAATTGTCATCATTTCCAATTTCAAATCAACAATCTTTACCAATAACACATCAAGAAGTTACAGTATCATCAAATTTAATAGATATACAACAACAAAATCAATCTATACCATCTAAAGATCGTCCATTAAGTGATGCAGAACTTACTTTGAATAAAATTAAATCTCCTTCTGGAATTCCTCGATTGTTATCTTTGAATGATTCGATTGCTAACAGATTGAATAATAATAATAATAATAATAAAAGTAGTAACAATAATAATTCATCTCCAGATAATTCGCCAACTGAACAAAATGATGAGAATCGCATGTCAAATGGTAATGCTTGTAACACTAATAATACTGCAACCAATTATACAAATACGAATACTAATAGTAATTATAATTCGATATATTCAAACAATATCTCAACAGATCATTCAACCTTACAATCAAATTCATCTTATCCACAAAAATATTTACCAACAAAGTATAATACATTATCATCACCAAATGGTTCTGGTAATCAACGTGTTAGCCGACCACGTACTATTAATACAATACAACCAGGGAATAGACAAGATCGAACAATGTCTGAACGTAAGTTATTTTTGTTTGTGTTTCATTTATCTGTAGTTTATTTAATCGCTTTTTGATGTATATCAGTTACGACATAAGTAAAAGTGATATGGATTTGTGTTAGGTAGTTAGAGTTAGTTAACAAAAATCCTATTTGATCTAGATTTATGCTAGTAGACACCTGTCAGCGAGATATACCTGGAGTCTTCAGAAAATTGATGCATACTCTGATATTCCAACCTAGTTTCGCAATTCGAGACGCATTATTGAGCTTATGAAATATCACTTACCTCTATCGAAACCGGTGTACTTACTTTTATTGATCGCCAATTACTGACTAATGTTCTCAATATCGATTCCATCTTAACATTGACCGAATTATATCTATAAGGTTATAATTTTACCACTAGTGTAAGTGACTCGAATTCGTGTGCACTATGTTGAGACTTGAGGTAGTGGTTGGAAATAGTGAATAAGAAATACTAAACCTAGATTTTATGCTTTTTGAAACTTATCAGCAAGGTGTACTTGTAATCTTGCAATTTGATCAATGAAATCCGATTATCATATAATGAGTACTTGAGATACATGAAATTCGTCACTACTCAGTGATCAATGAATTCTAAGTGCATTTCAGTCCCACATGAGTTCATTCATGATTCAAATAGCTCAGTAGTGATGCCCCTGTCTGTGCAGTTGGATTACATTGGATTGAATTCACTAGAGTACATCAGTTCCCTCGAGATTACGTACGCACCTTACTGACACGAGTGCTTTATGTTTCGAAACTCAAGTCAAGTAGGATTTCTTGTTGGCTACTTCCAACTGCCACCTCACATAGATTACCCGGTGTCATGGAGCAATAGATAAATGCAGTAAAAGTATATTTTAGGGACGAGATAATCAGGATGGAGAACACGAATTTTAAGTTTTTCTGTTGAATTCAAATATTTCATATGAAAAACCAATAGTGCTTGAAAGGTTCAAGAAAAATTAATTTTAGCAACCATAAAATAAAAATGATACTATTCAACATATCATATTCACAATTCTATCACTTCAGATTGTATATAACTAGCACATTGACACTATCCATAAATCTTAACTCTTAACACTTAATCCTGAAATAAACTTTAATCTTGTAATGTTCTATGACCGGTCAAATATCACTTGACACAATTGTCGATCTAAACACCGACTTCTATGACCATGTTTCTCTTCTAAACTAATGACACGTCAAACAGCACTACCAACCTTGAGTCAACTCTAAATCCTTATTAGTCCTCTATATAGCCAAGTCCATTGAGTCCAGAACACAATAATCAGCCTCTACCATATGAATATTATATTTCAAGTATATGTAGTTTAGATACAAATAGACCAGACCAAATCACATCATAAAATAAAAAGTAAAATTGTACAAGATCAAGTCAAAAGTGGCTGTGAGTGTGAGAGATTATAACTAACAGATTGAGGATAAATTAAGAATGGCAAATCATATAAGAGTAGCCAATGTACCAAATGAAAGCTTATGATAAAAGTAATATGAATATATACTGAATCTAGTCACTTAATAATTATTGAATGAGAATATATGCAATAATAGTCCATAAATAATCTCCCGACAGTTACCACTCATTTGTTCTTTGTTCGGATATAACAAACCTTGTGAAATCATATTTTTATGAACGAAATAATCAAATCACACCCCTTAAAATGTTGGGTGACATTCATTCATCCACATAATTGTAGAGCATTTGTACATTATATCTGATGTCAGTACGTGATGAATACCTCAACCTTAAACGCTTATGGATGTGAATAATTTAAGCCTAATAAACTTCCCTCTTCACTTTTAGTTCTCTTAATCATTAGTCCGTTAGGAGATCGCATATACGAAGTTTATGTATCACTTGTGTACACTTTATCTGAGCGTAAATTATGTGATTCAGCGCATAATCAAGATTGTTTTTATGGTTGGAAAGTACTTTCACCTTATAACTAATTCTTAATTATAACTTTCGTAGATCTATAAATAAAATGATAGGACCATAACAAATGAACTGAATAAACAGATTTAAGATAATGCTTGTTGAAATTCATTCATTCTTATCGCTACTAAACATTCTTGCATTAAAGTTGATGTCAGTTCGTGATAAAAACATCCTGATCTTATGTATTTTTCGTTTACTAATCGTAAATAACTCAACATGGTTAAGGTTAATCAATTAATTATGTCAGAAATACTTATTTACTGCAATTATATTACTTTATATAGTGAATTGTTTCTGTTGGAGAGATTCAGTAAACTCCTCGAAAAAAAATCCAGGAAAGGCTCTGAAAACACTGAGAAGCATCTTATCCAATCAGTGTTCACTAGAAGTCTTGTCAGAAACATCTAGAAAGTGGAAAGTCACAGGGTAAACCATCCATCTATTTCTCCATCATAATTTGACATTATTTAAAAAGATATATCATGAATTGTGTTTTTACAATAGTTACTAGTATAGAAGTAGGTTAGAAGAAAGGTGGAAGCTGCCAAACCAAAACGCGACATCATTCCAAGAGGTTTTTGATTTCTGTCGTGAGCCTTGTCGTTAGACGAAGACTATCTGGTTAGGACTAGACCGATAACTGCGATCAGTGATCTATGTCCTAATGGATATAGATTTTTTACATTCTCGAACCCTAAAAATGACTCAGACAAATTTTTAAAATACTCCACATTAATCCTAATTAAGTAGAGGGTATTTTATGTAAGGTTATAATTAAGGTTTTAGGATCGAGGTATTCATCACGTACTGATACTGTGGTGTGGGTTACTTATATCTACATAAGTAGTATATAACTGTGGTCAGGCATAGAATGTATTTCAGCAGAAGATCAATAAGGAAAGAACGGAAACGGAATGCAGGTGGTATGAAAATGCATCAACAATGAAATCTGAGGCAATGGACTGATATTTGCAAAGGAACAGTCAAATTTGAAACAATGGATTGATATTTTGCAAATTAATTACTTACTATATGGTTCTAAGATTTTATTGAGATGCTTTGTAATTTTGTGTCGACTATATTCGATTATCCCCACTCGTGTTCTTGTTCGCTGTAATACCAGATATGATGTGATTATCTCATCCCTAAAAGTATATTTTTACTTTTGATTTAGTATATGTATATATATGAACATTTTGTTGGGGAGATCCAGAAAATTCTCCGAAAAAGCCATGAAAGGCTCTGAAAACACTAAGAAGCATCTTATCCAATCAGCGTTCACTAGAAGTTTTGCCAGAAACATCAAGAAGGTGGAAAGTCACATGTCGAGTTTCTGATTGGAAGATTACTGTACTGCTACTATGTTTACGAGTATTCCAGAATTTTCGGCAAACCTAAGGACATCTAAAATACTATAAAAACCCTAAATTTTCTGTACATAAACGGACTTTGGGAGTAGAGTGTTGCTTACATACTTTGCGCCTTTTCTGTTGTGTTTAAGTCGCTGCGTAGTTCTAGCCTGGGCGTTACTAGAAGTACTTAGGAACCAAATCTAGCGTTCAATAAACAAGACTTGTCACATTTCCGAAATCATCTCATACAATTGTCATTTGTGGAATTTCACAACTATTTTTCATATTCAAACGATCAATCAAGTACTTCCCCTATTGACATTCATCTTCTTCTGTACTTCTGTGAATTGTTTAAATGACTCCAAATAGGAAAAAATAAAACGTTAAGAACCATAAATGAAGTTTCTATTTCTTCACTAAAAATAGATAACAGCTGATGACATAATAATAATAATAAGTAAATTACTTAACAAATAATCAATAAAACAACTTTCTCTCTTCTCTTATTGGTCAATCAAATTTATCACTTCGTCAAGGTCACTGGATCATATGGGAATTTCTTTTTTTCACGGTGTACAAAATAAGGAAAGCGATCATATTGTATTGACGTTTAAATAATGATCTTATTCTGTTTTAAATGAAATGTAAAGTATTTTTATTGGGATAAGATCATTTTCATTATGAGAGAGTTAGTGGATAGATAAAAAGATAAAATATCAGAAGGGTTTTTTTGTGGATATTATAGTAATTTCAATGGTTGAGATCATGAGTCATTTGAAGCTAGACCACTATGGAAAATACAGGAGCACTGGACGGCTGTTTTGTCCTATTGTGAGAGAGTAACTCACTGAATATATTGGTGGATGTGTCACTCCATTTCGTGAATTGTTTGAATTTAGACATTAATACCGTTGGATGTTGGCTCAGTGGTCTAGAGGTTAGGCGCTCTCACGCACTGCTGAGGAGTCCTACAATAAGACGAAACGGCCATCCAGTACCTCCAGGTTTTCCATAGTGGTCTTGCTTCAATTGACCCATGATCTTAACCATTGAAAAAGATAAAAGTCACTAGGAGTACGGGATAGTTGTTTTATCCGTTAGTGGGAATTCTTGTTAGTGTTAAGAAAATGCGCATGGTCCTGTATCGAATCAAACTCAGATTACCTGTGAATCATTTAATTCAATGACTGTGATATTTTTTACATTTTTCTGGTAAGTTGATTAGAATAAATATTTTACTAGTAGATGGTGGCTAAGAGTTCGTATGCGAGACTGAATCTCCTAGGTTCGATCCATGGTGATAAGGTCGTGTACGCGCGTTGTTGAGGAGTTCCGTACAAGAGAAAAACAGCTGTTTAGTGCCTATCAGTTTTCAATGACTGTTAAACAAAAATCAGTCCGAAGTGTTAACTATCAAGATTTGATGGGAGCTAGGAGCTTTACGGCTGCGAAACGTGGCCATTAAGAGTAGAAGATACTCGTAAGCTATTAGTATTTGACCACAGATGCCTTAAAAATATTGCTGGCATCTTCTGGGATCACTGGGTAAGTAATAGTGAGGTTAGACGCATAGTATTAAGGGAATGATGGTCAATCAGTTGATGACGTTGTAAATCTCCATCGACTAAGATGGTTTGGTCACGTGATGCATATGCCTGAACACCGATTAACACGATGCGCAATGTTGACTAGTGTTGAGGATGGTTGGAAGAAAGTTAGAGGTGGTCAAACCAAAACGTGGCATCATTGCTTGAAGTGACTGAGTTCTAATCTGAGCCATGTTGTTAGATGCAGACTACTTGGTTGATGTTCGCGCGACTATCATACTGAATAGTTGGAGACTCTATGTGATATATGGTTCAGAATCGATCTCAATGCCGTAGGTGTATACATCCTTTGTCTTACCTTAAACTATGAGCTGAAAATTGCTTTATATCTTTCTTTCTGTCAACTAATTCTTTCTTCCTGTACTGTGTCTTTATATGCAATCTTTCTTTTATATATTACCACCATTGAATTAACTACTTTTATTAATTTGGTGTTCATCTTGTTGTGGTAATGAGGTATGGCAACTTGGACCGATGCTTGTATGTGCCTGTTCCTACATTGCAGCTGACTGACTGACTGTCTGAGTATGACAATCCTATGTTAAATCACTGTAATCATTGTTTAACAAAGAATCTTGTTATTACTAAGATATAAACCAAATTATTGATTCAATCTGATTTTCTTTCCGTTTACATTGTAGATCCTCACAAGTCAGTTGATACGGAATCGGATACATCAAGTGTGAGTTTGATAATTTGGAAAAAATGTTGTTATCACCTTCCCTCTTCTTGTATAGATTCCATACCTTTTTCTAATAAATTTCTAGAATCTAGAAAATCTTCAACCACTGAAATAAAATGTTGATGGATACTTCAAAAACTCAAAGCTTTTTAAACACGTTCAAGGGAAATGTAGATAACATCTAAGTATAATTTCCTTATCTGGACTCAAGAATTATTGATTAATAGGCACTTTAAGTATCTTCTTCACAATTTTCTAGACTATTAAAGTCGTTCATAATTCTACAAATGTCTTCCGTTTTCATACTCAACCTAACCTCTAAAATTGACATTGTTTAGTATAATTCTCGCCTTTCGTACACTGTTCAAGTTTCAAGAGTTGGATAATATCAATTGTCTAATCTATTTTATGCTACCTATTTATGTTGTCTGACTTGTTACTAGTTTGTAGAATATTCAAATTTTTGCTGACTGGTAATTTTCTTTTCTGTTTTATTCATATAAGAAATACACAAATAGTTTAGTATTACTAATACTATCATTTCATTCGGTACTGAATATTTTGCCGTCATAAATGATTGCTCTATTTTAGTTGGTATCAGTGAAGATTTGTTACTTACTTGCTTAGTTACGCCTGTTACTCCTCGTGGCGGAGCATAGGCCACCTACAAGGATTCTCCATCGAACTCTCTCCTGGCAAAACTTTCCAGTTCTTTTCAGTTGTTATTCATCCTTTTGATGTTTGCTTCCGATTCCCGACGCAATGTGATCTTTGATCTTCCACTTTAAGATTCCAGGTTAGCACTTGCCTCATGATGCAGTTTCGTGATTTCTGTGATGTATATCCTATCTACCTCCAGCGTCCTGATTTCCTCTTCAACTGGAAGCTGCTTTGTTCTCTCCTACAATAGGCTGTTGTTGATGGTTTCCGGCCAACGGACATTGAGTATATTGTGTAAACAATTGTTTATAAGTACTTGTACATTTTTGATGATGGTTGTGGTAGTTTTCCACGTTTCGACTCCGTAAAATAGAACTATCTTAACATTCTTATTAAAGATTGTGACTTTAATATTGGTTCACAGTTGTTTTGAGTCTCAAATGTTGTTCAACTGTAGGAATGCTGTTCTTGCTTCGTCAATCTTTACCTTTAGTTCTGTATCAGATCCTCCTTGCTCATCGATGATTCTGCCCACGTAAGTGAAATATCCCAAATCTTCCAGAGTTTCTATATCAGGTGTGACTGGGTTGGCGTTCTCTGTGTTTTATTCAACGTTCTTGGTTTTTACATGTGTTTGTTTGAGCCTACTGATGCAGAGACTGCTACTAAAATGGTTGTTTTGACCTGGATTTTTTCGTGTGCAAGGGGTCGAAAGGCCAGGTGATCTACAAACTCAAAATCGTCTAGTTTCATAAAGCTGTCGATTGTATTCCGTGCTTCCTCTCAGATGTGGAGGCCTTCATAATCAATCCAACCACCAGAAGAAAGAAGAAGAGGGAGAGTAAGTAGTCTTGTCCGACTCCGGCCCTAACTTGGAATGCGTCTGTGAACTGTCCTCCATACACAACTTTGCAGTGTAGTCCGTTGTATGAATTCCGGATGGTGTTGATCTCAGGAACTCCATACTGTTGAAGATGGTTCCATTATGTTCTCTTATCCACACTGTCAACTGCTCCCTCATAGTCAAGGAAGTTGAATTATGATGACGAGTTGCATCCAATTGATTGGTCAACAATGATTCTTAGTGTCGCGATTTGATATGCGCATGACCGATCTTTACGGAATCCGGTTTGTTGATCTCGAAGTTGGATGTCTACTGAATCTTTCATCCGGTTGAGCAATACTTTGTTGAAATTTTTCCTAGTACTGATGGAAGTGTGATGCTCGGATCTCCTTTCTGAAACATCCAGTCTGTCAGCACTTGTTTCCCCCTCCCAACTCTTCCTGAATAGAGTGTGAGGCATGTTTGCAGTTGCTTCGGTATTTGACTTCAGTATTTCGGCTGATATATTGTCAGATCCTGCTGATTTCTCACTCTTGATTTGTCGATGGCCATCCGGATATCCTCGATCGTGGGTGGAGTGACATCTATAGGAAGGTCCGTGTGTGCTGCTTCGATCTCTGGTGGATTCACTGGAGTTGGTCTTTTCAAAAGTTCCCCAAGTATTCTACCCATCTGTTCCTCTGTCTAGAATCTCAGTGATTGTCTTGTCTTCTTTGTCTTGACTGGTCTCTCTGGTTTACTATATTTCCCTGCTAGTTTCTTCATTGTGTCACATAGTTGTTTGATATTTCTTCTCTTACAGCTTCTTCCGTTATCGTTGTTAGGTCTTCGTCGTATTTCTGATTGTCGGCTCTAATGCTCTTCTTCACTTGCTTGTTTGATTCAGTGTATTTGTATGTGCCTTGACTTCTCTGTTGTTGTTCGGCTGTCTGTTGCTAATTGATGTCTTCTTGTTCTTCCATTCTTGAATCTTGGATCCGGGTTTCGACAGAGATTCATTTCTTATGATGATGCCTTTTGTGGCCCAGCACCTCCTGTTACGTTGAAGTTAGTGCTTCATTGATCTCTTTACAGTTGTCCCCCATAGTAGTTTATCCTTTTTTCAGTGGATCCTGTAAGGCTTGGAAGCTGTTGTTGGAGTTATCTTGAATTTGTTGAGTTTATTAGTATCTCGAAGGAAGTCTGTATTGAACCTTTTAATGCCGTTTCCCGAGTTGTCCAGTGATCTTTCAGATCCATCTATGTCAGCTCCTCTTCTGCTTTTCACGTCTTTCATTGTCCTGAAATTTTTAGTGACGCAAATATGATTGATCTTGTCTGTGCTGTGTGATTCAGTTTGTCAATAAGATATAATTGGTTTTCTGATCATCGTCACCATCAGTATCTTGAAAAGATTGTTAATTTAATTTAATCATGATGCTTGTTTTTGGTCGTACTGAACTCATTAACTGATTGTTTAGTCTGGGTGTTAAATCAGTTTTTAAGAAATGTAGCCGAATTAAGGTTCATAAACTCCATTGTTTGTATGTGAACTAGTGTCACTCGCCGGATCACATAACTGACGAGTGGGTTCGAACGCATGTCCTATTGTTTGAAATAAAATATCAATTTCTAAAATGGTGGAATGTTGAAGAAAGTTGTTTTGATAAAATGTAACGAAGCCTAGTTTATTCATTTAAATGATCAACTTCTGATGTCCATTTCTTCGAGTATTTATGATGCAATGGAAAATATTGATTCCCGACTGAAGATAAAATAGTAAGTCGGGTATAATCTGTGTAGGACCTCATAGAAATTTATAATAAAATCAACTTACCCAGTTCTCAGAGGTGTATACAAACTGTCGAAGGATCATCATCATTCTATTGTAAGGATATCACCCGAAAGATATTTTCATATTGGTTGAACCAGGGTTGGAATGTCACATCTGCTTGAAGATCAAGATGGAATTCTTTCATTCATTGAGTTAGATAACGACTCGATTATTGATTTCATTAAATCAATTGAATAACGATGTAAAATTGATTTGAATCGTAAGTTTCTTCGTCATCTAATTTCAATGGATTTAACTATGCTGTTTGAATTTTCATTTTCTACCGCATAGAGACCGACTGATGAATTGTCACCATTTAATGTTAAATTTTTAGGTTGCCCGATGAGTTACAGATACACGCGTTTCCTATACTTCATCTACTCAGTGAGATGACTAAAATGATTAGAAAGATGTACTTGGCAACTAAATGTTATTGTACACAAATCATTGATATATATGTTCATTGAGCTTATAAGCCAAAACTTAAATAAAGTACATAACAAGCCTCATCCAATAGCATGCATCATTTGTCATCTTTCACTCAGTGCTTAGCCTTGAGGGGCACCATGTGAGAGTAAAGTCACGTGTTATTTCTGATTAGCTCAGCCTATCACAACAGAAAACTAACTTAGTATTATAGAAGTATAAGATAATGATCTTTTTGAAAGTTTTAATGAATATAAAATATGAATAAATTAATGTCATTTTAATGAATTTCAAGCTTTATCGTCCGGTATCTATCACTAAAGTTATCTCTATGTGTTCTATTTTCTTACTTGGTTATTTCCTAACATACTTGTGGATACGCAATGTATTCCGATCACTGAATAAATACTTATCACCTCGGTGAAATGTTCAAATCATGTCCGTATTGCTGTAAACGGTATAAGTTTTGGTATATCATGATATAAATTCTTTTGGATGGTATTTAGCACGAAGTCGTACTTCATGCCTAATGCCCATTTTTGATATAGTTTTGTTTTTTATACTCTGCCAAAGTCATCCATCTAATCTACAAATCTTCTCTACCATCACTAAGTTCCCTGTAGTTGACAGTTGTCAAGGAAGTGATGCTCGACTTCAGGATTGGATCTTGTATCACTTATCGTCAAGTGTTAAAAATGCTTGCTCTGAGATATTCAGACTATGACTGACGTTTTATAGAACTAAGATATTCGTACATATTGTCCAACCAAATCATCTGACAATTAACAACATAACATATCATATTATTGACTATCTTAGATACAATTTTGTATCGTGTTACTATTCAATGGAACTGGATATTCAAGTTTATTCCAAACTTATAATGCATATTTGATGTTATCATCATTATTGTCTTTTCAATGTTCATGATATTCACAAATTATTGCATAATTTTAGCAATCATTTTGTTTTGGTTTTCAGGTATTCTCTAGCAGTGGTAAGTTAATTATTTCATATAAATATATGTATACTATAAACAATATTATCTATTGAATAACTACTGAATACACTGAGATGGTGGAGAAGATTTGTAGGTCAGGTGGATGATTTTGATGGAATTTTGTTCTCTCAGCTGGATGCTTTGGTCATGGAGCTTTCATCGTTCTTCTGAACGACATCATCAGCACAAACTTCAGATAGAAGTGAAGTGTTTGAATTTCTCCAATCAACGTCGAGGTGCACAGAACAAGTTGTGAAACGCATATGGAGAAATTCGAACACTTTACTTCTATCTGAAGTTTGTGCTGATGATGTCGTTCAGAAGAACGACGAAAGCTCCACGACCAACCCATCCAGCTCAGAGAACAAAAATCCATCAAAAATGAATATACTTAACAGTGAGATCTAGGTATACCTCCTCTGATAGTCATATACCAGATATATATTAGAACCAATTTTTGTTTGTTCATGTTTAGCTCTTCAGTCTAATAGTCTCCTTCTAGATCTAAAACGTTACTTATATTATTGTTATTCTTATTATAAGTAATATAAGTGATCAACAAGAGGGTGCACTTGTAGTCTTAGAAATGGCCCACAATTCCAGGTCTAACAGAGCGAGTTTAAAATCATTCGATCACTGTGACCAGTCATTCAAGATGTTATAGTGTAACATAGACCAAAATGAGTTACAATGGCATAAATGTATTCACACTTTTTCTTCCTCCAAATCTTAAGCTTTAATATTATTTCATATGCTTTATTGTTCTAAATCATCCCTTCTTTTCAAAACCTATTCACCAATGTTGAGTCTTCCACGATCATTAATACTACTACCGTTATCCCTACTCTTTCATTATTGATTTTGTTGATCTTTTGTCTTGTTTTGCCGAAGTGGTTTGGAAACTTGGGCTATCACCCTTTCATTTTATCACTGTATGTGATTCTTGGTGTATATTAACATTTGAGAGCTGTTTTACTCCATGGATCACAGATTCCTGTTTGGGCTTTTGAAGATGCGTCTAGAAGTTTTGTCAGCATCGCGAAATACTGAAATATATCGATTGGTCAGGTTAATGATTAATTTTACTAGTATTACCATCAACTTCTATTTGAATTGATTTCAAAACGCAGAATCATTGACCGATGAACGTCAGGTTGACTTATCCAATCACTATTAAGCATATGGCTATTAGTACGTTTGTAGCTTTAATTTAGTCAAGAACAAAGCAGCTACCTATATACTTCAGGAACTGAATACCATCATGGTTTTCCTAACAAATTCAAGTAAACTTGAACTGGCCCCTTGCAGAACCAGATTACAAATGCATACTACTACAATATTGACTGTTGTTAAATGAGATAAAAATTATCTTCCTAATAACATTAACATTGAAGCATTTGTGTTAAACCTGTCATATTCATATATCTTGGAAGTTTCATCATCCATAGTAGGTTGGTATTTGATGCAACTTCAAAACATTCCGACTTGCTTGATTTTTGCCAAATAGCATCAATTGTAGTGTAGGCGATATATCATCTGTCTGACAATCAAAAGAAGAGTGTTACTACACGGCTGTTCATTTCCTTCTCATTAATCAGTGTGAAACGTGACCATTAAAAATAAATAATGTTCCTAGCATTATAGTATATGATTATAAATGCCTAAGTAGCATTGTATACTAAAGTGACCAAGCCAGAAGCAGCGTACTAGGTAAAACAAAAGTAGCTAATCGATTGATGAGGTAGTGAATTCTAATCGATTGAAGTGGTTGGGACATGTATTAAGCTGGTAGATGCTTGTTATCTGATTAGTCTGTCTTAAACAAATGACCCAAGACGTTGGATGAAATGACGCTGAATCAAAATTCTGTTCACTCTTTGACTGAGAGTTGATATTTGATACACACTCATTCTGTACATGAACCCCGTTACTCATGAAAATAGACAGAGAGTGAGAAAAGAAGTTTATTTGTCTAAATTGAATCACAGACATCTCGGTAAGACTATAGTTAATAGACGACCTTTGAGCGACGTTAGACTGACCTTGAGAGTGTCCACTTAACAACTAGGACCAAATGAGGGTTATAAAGCAGCGTGAGGAATTAGAATTATGAATTACAGTTGATGTTTAAGGTTAGAAATTAGATTGAGGGTTTTCATCACGAACTGACATCAGCTATAATGCCGAAACTTTATTTACACAAATAGATGAGTGAATTTCGTGCCAAAATCCGAGATCGATTATCTTATACATGATTGTTTGTTCATAAATTATAGTCTCGCCGACATCTCTAATCATCTACATATTAGTATGCCTTTCCTTTAGAGAATTAAGTCTATCATTGGTTTGTATCGTTCCGTGAAAATGAAAATCATTTCTTGCCCAGTCACTTACACCTATCGTTTAAATATGTTTGATTGGTTCACTGTATTCGTTTATCTCTCAGATTTTGAGTTTCAAAATTAATTCATTCTTTAATTCTTACATCTGGAACTACATTTTTCATGCCCAATAGTTTCTAACATGAATGATAATGTAGTAATCACTACTGTGTACGATTTGCTTTGATAATTTCACTTTACTACTCTAAAGTGGTGTGCCAGATTCTTAAGTTCCTTATGACTAACTGACATTATATTTGATTATATTGACCCACAGGTTGTTTTGCGGCGTAGGCCCACAGTCTAATATTGATGTTAATGAAATATATATATTACTTACCTCGACTAATCTCATTAATAACGACGTAGATTTCAGACGTTCGATAGTATGGACGAACGACGAAAGATGAAAAAAAATGCGTATGAATCACTGAAGCGTCAAAAATGACCAGCTCATTGAGTTAGAAGTAACTCAGTATCTATAACCATGTAATAGATACAAGTGAGTATACACACTCATAGGCACTAACATACACAAATGTATAAACTTTTGATCAGGGTTACACATGAGTAATTGGTATGAACAAACTTATAGGTGATAGGACAAAATGATCATTAGGATAACGTATCTAACTAGAGGTTAGGACAGATTAAGTTAGTGTGTAATAGCAGAAAATCACTACAACAGCACTGTTCATCAATTTTTCATTTTCGCTGTTGATTTTTAGGCCCACCAAGACCAATCTCTTCGAAAATTGGGTCGTTTCAAAATGCAAAACATAAACCAGGAGGTGGAAATGTAAGTTTATTGACTTCAATTTTTTTTTTACCTATTCGCCTATTTCTACTTATTTTTACAAACATAATAACAGTCAATAGCCCTGATCTCAAATTTTTAAAAAACAGTTTTCATCTAAAATTCACTATTTTTACCCACTTGTCCATCATCGAATAGTATATCTCACTCATGACCCCACCACAGATTGAAATCCAAACATTTAGATCTCACGCCAACCGCTTAACTTTTAGACTAGTGAGTTAACATCCAGTGATTTACGTTCCTAATTTCAATCGATTAATAACATTGTGCAACTATCATCTAATGGGGCAACTGCTCCACTGAAGATATGATTGAATGCAGCTGGTCATAACTTCTTATTGGAACTGCGAGAACTACCTCTTAAAATTAATCACTAATGAACAATTAATAATCATTTGTGGAGATTGTTGTATTTCATAGTTTATCTCTTTGAAGCCATCAACAATCGAATTCAAAAAATAATTAATATCCCCTCTATATTTATCAAGTGGTAATTGACCTTTTGATTATGTTTCCTACCTTTCCAACTTCTTCAGAGAATAGCTTAGTACGACACTAAATTAGAAGTATTGGTTTCGTTAATTAAATTCCTTTCTCTCACACATCCACACACGCGCACACTTTCTGTTCACAGTGATATACGTTATATGTGATATGCTAGATACAATAACAATTAATTCTATTTACAAGTGATTGATAACTAAGTAATGACTAATGCCACATATATCAATTCCTTCTTAGTGCTGATTGAATTGAAACTTGATCGACAGAATCCGATCAGAACTAAAGAAGTAATTGATATACATGACATTGGTCACTACTACTCAATGATCAATAAACTAAAAATACATCTCAGTCGTACAGAAGTTCAATTTCTGCCCGAATAACTCGTTAATGAAGTCTATAACAATGAAGCTAAGTCACGCGGGATCAAATCCAACAGAGAGCATTGGTTTCCTGAATATCACAGTGTTAACTAGTACAAAACCTAGGTTAACTATGGTGTTCTGTTAACTATTTTCATCCAACACCTTACAATTAACACTATGAATAATAAAAATAACCATATTGGATAATAGGTGACAATGTATATATCCATGCTTGTTTGTAACAATGTTGTAAAACACATTAAATTACATTTTCATCCCGATGAAACAAATAAATATTTGAAAATTGAAATTAACCTTAAATCACCAAGGTAATACAGTTAAAGTTTATGGATTATCAAAAAAATAAGAGGTGTGTGTGTGTGTAAACAATTTTAATGCATGAACAATTTTAATGGTAGAAAGTAGGTCGATAAAAGAAGGATCATTTTAAAACAATCAGTCCATAAAATCATTGATTATGTTTATATTGTTTACTGGAGTGTGGACAGAGATGATGATAATGTGTAACTTTTGTAACGAGACTATAATTTATGAACAAACAATCAGGTATTAGATAACAGATCTCGGATTTTGGCACGAAATTCACACATCCATTTGGCTAAATGGACTTTTGGCATTATAACTAATGTCAGTTCATGATGAAAACCCTCAATCTAATTCCTAACCTTAACTATCAGTCAGTCATTTAACAACAACGTAGAATATCGTACACACGTACATCAGTTTTAGTTGTCATATCACATTATCACAAAGATACAATTTTTCATTCAAATCCCATAGTGGTAGAGGTAGTGAAAGTATAAGCAGTAATCGGAAACGTTAGGGTTTGAAGATGTTATTCTAGGAGTATAATCCAGTGAAATAAATTTGGAAAGAGAAAAAAGGAACATGAAGAATTGAGAAGATAAGAATTTGGAGAACACAAAGAGTGAATGCACCTGCACTATTGCAAACGATTTTGAGCCATGTCATTCATGGTCTCTAACCATCGATTGCTATCGTCTTGTGGATCTGTTATAATGGTTGGTTTTCGAACGTTTACACGTATGGGACGTTAATTTACCTTCAACGCTTATCTACACTAGATTCCCTCCCAGTGTCTATTCTGCAGGACGTCAGCACAACTCAGATCAAGAACGTGTGATTAGCCTGACTAGAACGTAAATATATTGCCACACTAAATCCAACAACAATGAACAATCAATAATAAGTAATAATAAGGATAGAGGAATATATAACTCATCTGATACCTGTCAGACTATCTACATGTCTGACTAAGCAGACAACCAGTCATTTTCATTTTCGCCCACACATCAGGATCCCAACCAGGTAGTAAATGTAGACCTACCAACATGGCTCAGTCCACTTTTCAGTGACTTCATGGAATTATGCCATGTTTTGTTCTGGTTGCTCCTAGCTTTCTTCCAACCTACAACTTAATCATCAACTCTAAATCATAATTCTAATTCCTCCCATGCTTTATAACCTTCATTTGGTCCTAGTTATAAGGTGGACACTCTCAAGGTCATTGTAGCGTCACTCAAAAGTCATTCATAAATTATAGTCCCATCGCTTTTATAATTCCTTGTAGTCTAAGTCTTAGAAATAAATTATTTTGACTTGATAAATCTTCTGTCTCAACGGTTGAATCGGTTTCTTTAGCTCTTCTACTAACCCCAGACTAAATTGAAACGAAAACTTCAACACGAATAAAAGGATGCGAAATATGGAAAGGATGTTTTACTCCAAGGTTAGTTTATGTACAGGGTATTCATAGCATTCCAGGTGGCTTTGGGCTTCTGGAAAATTCTGGGACCCTACTAAACATAGCAGCAGGATCGACAGTCACCCAATCAGAAATGTGGCACGTGACTCTATACTTTCTAGACGTTTTGAGTGACTTATATTCAATACTGATTGGATAAAATGTTTCCCAGTGTTTTCGGGCCCCTTTAGGCTTTTTTCGAGGAATATTCTGGGTCACTCTAACACGATTCATATCTGATAAGTTGATGATTTAGTGATCAATTTAAAAAATCTCTGTATAGATATAAAATAGCTTGTTTAGAATTATTCCCTTATCATCGTCATTTTTAATGTTGGCAAACGCAGTTCTATCACTCAGGCATATGGAACGTTGAACCTGGCACATATGTGTGTTGATTCAATTTGCCGCATTATGTTGGGACAGTGTAATTAAATTATTAATCGGGTAAGCGTCGGTGGATTAGATTAAGTGGTAGTGTATAATACAAAAATAGGCAGGAGAAATGTTCTAGTAGTGCGAAAAGTTACAAATTAATTGCATAACCTTCAATCGTCCATTTGCATCTCTTCACTGTGTTCTGTCATCTGAACTGTCTTCTCATCTGATCTCCAAGTGTTCTCCTAGTGCCATGCTTTTGATCCGCTGAAACTTTTAACTCCGTCTGACAATTGTAGTAACTTCGACACCGTGTTCCGCTACACAGTCTTGTGAGTAGCGTCCACTACAACAGTATCATTAGTGGTAGAAAACTTAAAACATAGACAATATGATTTAAGAAGAATGTATTCGCGGTATTATGACGTTCGCTACCTCTCACTTCACGAATCAAAAACTCGGAGAAAAATTCAATAATTGAAATCCTGATTTAATCTCCTCGAGTTCCAGCATTTTGGTCGCTCCATCGACAGACTGCTCAACCTGACCAATCAAATACCTAGGCTAGTACGGGTAACCTTGAGCGTTAACGAGATAATCTTGACTCTTATTGCTCCGTTGATATATACTCCTTCTTCTATTCCCACCATCTTCAATCCGGACAAAAGAGCACTTTAGGCCAACTTCTATTGTTTACATTACAATCATCTAGTATGTTTTTCATATCAGACACTCAGTTTATATCCATTTATTGCCAGATCGCAACTCATCGTAAATACTAAATTATTCTGAACAGAAAATCATGTCATAAGTGACAGAGAACGGAATAAACAGTACACAATTAATGAATAATAATAAAACAATAACCGATAGATCTAACGAAAACTCGAAATACCAGGATTGTATAAACGCTATCATCCAATGATTCATCTGATTTTTTCTGGTTAGAATTTTTCTACCAATATTCTTTTCTATGGGATTGTATTGCTAACTTCATGCCTAACCCTCCTCCTTTATTCGGGTTGACGACGGGCAGTAACCGTGAAAAGGCTTCAGGCAGAGTAAAGTATCTCTATTAGCTATATGATAAAAATATAAACAAAATTAATTTGTGAATTAATCCCGAAAGTTCTAGCATCTTCAACTCTTGTCACGTTATAACACACGGAATAAAAAGTCTAGTATGATTTTGAAACTCAACATCTATGAGAAGATTATTTTAAGTGCTGTTAGTGGTGTATGAGTGGTAGTTACTCTCCACTTGTTCACACAATGAGAGGATACTTCTTGGGGAGATGAACAGGAAATTTGGTTAATGGTCATCTTGACCTGTTGTGAGTGTACTTGCAGAAACCAACGGATTACTACTTGAGGCTGACTATTCAGAACTCTCTGATAAATAATTTTGAAAGGTATTACCACTGGGAATGTAAACTAAGGGATCAAGGCGAAGTGTTATATTTTTACAACCAACTACATTTAACTCCTTTCCGCTGTGGGAATGTAGCATCAATAGAGGTACTGTCCTCTCAAGGAAAACCCCGTACGTCTGAGAATACGACTTCGCCCTCAAACCCTGATTTTGGTACTTTTATCCTAGTATCTCCGAACCGAGTCGCCCGGTATAGTGTGACCGTCAAGATTCCCGACAAAGCGAAAGTCTAACGTATAACAGTTAATTGTGTTGTATTTTATGACTACGAAATATGGTCATTATGAATATAAAGAACATGCATAGATTATTAGTACTTGAGAGCGTTGCTGTGTACAGTGGAACAAACAAATGAGTAATTGCAAGTTGTGTGTGGTTTTAGTGGAATGAGCAATTTGATGAATAAGAACGTTAAGCATTTATTGATTATACTGATTACGAAATGGGTTGTATATGCTTAAACCACACCACCTATATATAACGTTAACTCTTTCTGGGACAGAAGTGACTTGAAAAAGAATCTAAAGTGAATAAGATTAAAACGTAGTATCAGCTTACATTAAGTCACTGACTATTCAACTGAGCTGTGTAAGGAAATGAATATTTACTAGCTTGACAGAGTACTTGATAATTGTGACCAACTATCGCAACGTTATACAATCACATGGCTTCAAATTGATAGTCCGAGACATTGATTTTTAATATTATTCCTCATTTTTTAGTTTCACAGATTCATTTATTTCTTCATTTTGAACTAGATTGTTTTTATAACTGTTTATTAATAATTGCAACAACTGAATTCATTAGTCCATCTAAGCTAGATGACTATTAAAAACTTGAAACCACTAAACGACCGTTTCGTCCTAGTATGGGTTCTAGTCCCGCTTGCGGGATCGTTTATACTCGCTGCTGAAGAGTCCTATTCTAGGACGGAACAGATTTTCAGTACTTCCAGGTTTCTAACAGTAGTGTTTCGCTTAGATCGACTGATGAATTTAACTGTCCAAAATACTGCAATCGCCACAAATCCCATATTGATATTGTGGCGAGACTCTAATTTTATGGACGACCTTTGAACGAATCTTAGGTGACCTTCAGAAATATTAGTCAATCAGCAAACAGTCAGTATAGAGTAAAAATATGTTATACAAAACCAAGGAAATAAAGTGGATACACTTCTTATACGTGGTTCAAAAACTTGTCAAGGTTAGAAAGAGGTTCAGAGGTTCTAAAATCGTAATTAATGCAGTAGAGGAAATCATCCATACGGCTACAGAATAGTTGGCTTGTGGAGCCATGATAAAGTCTCAAAAACTCTTTCAGCCTCGATCACATAGCTTCAATATTGTTTATATGCACTCCGGTTGTTGAGTGCACTAAATGCTACTTGTGGATAACGACACGATGCACATAACCAAGCCTATGTAGGAGTCTGTACGCTCTCCAAACTTCCGTATATATTGTAGTACCTGGCTGCAGCCAGTGTTACTGGTGCTTTTATTATTCAGTTCGTAATTTGCCTTAGTAAGGAATTATATATAGGGTTTTCATCACGAACTGACATCATCTATAATGCCAGAAATCTATTTAGACGAATGGATGGAAGGTTTTCGTGTTAAAATCCGAGATCTATTATCTTATACCTGATTGATTCGTCCACAAATTAAAGTCTCGCCGTTTTATTTGCTATTGCCGCTCAATTATCACTTTTTGTACAAAATTCCCTGTGAACCGATCGTACGTTAGCATTAAGCACTGAAATTGGCGCCGTAACCTTGAAATCTCTAAAACGCTTCTGATTGTCTCGTCCATAAATTAGAGTCTCACCGATATTATTGATTGTATTACAATTTCAACTTTCCATTTAATCATCATATATATATAAGATGAAAACTACAGGAATTTAGTTCTGTTATATTGAAAATAGACATGTTCCTATTATCGATGTTCTTCAACATTGAATAGATTCAATTTAATCAAAGATCATACTGTTTACTTTTACTTTATCCAACTCTTATCTATATTCTATCTTTGTTTATATTTCAACTTTATCTGCATTATATATGTATACATATGCACACACACACACACACATAGGTACTTCATCCATAAGTTGAACAAATTTATTTCGTTTAATGTTGTAGTTTTTTTCTTCTTATTTTAATCAAAAACTTGTTTGATAATGGTGTAAACAATAAAAGATCATTTACAATTTCTTTTCTACTTTTTTCTTAGATTATGTTATTACTGTTGTTGTTGTTGTTATTTTTCCAGGTACAAATTTTCAATGAAAAAGTAATTGTGAATACAGTTGCTGGAAAATGTAATTCATTAGCTAATGTCAAGCATAAACCAGGTACCATAATGTGAATGTTTATATAAGTGTGTGTGTATGTATGTATGTGTTCAAGTACTCCTTTTTTTTCTTCTTTGTATACATTTGTCTTGTAAACTGAATCAAGATTAATTGAAATGATCGGAAAACTTTCTAGTTACAATTTATTTGATTAAGTAAACAATTTATTTAATTTATAATAAGGAAATGTTTGTTATTGTTGTTGATATTACACAGTTTCAATTTTAACTAGTCTTTGTTAGTATATCTATGCATCTTATATGAATTGTCTTATGTTATAAGTTTACATAGAATAGATGAAATGTGGTTAAAACAGTGGGATTCAGAATAGACATTTTGTTCTATTTTGAATTGATCCGTATGTATTAGAATTTAGAAACTATCTTAGAGTGAACATCAACTCACTGGGATGCAGGTACATCCGGCTGACGAGTCCCAAATAGGACGAAACGCGTGTCAAACTGGATTCCACTGCTAACCATTATCCATCATTGCTTACAAATAGCTTGTGAATTAAGGCAATATCGAGGCATACGCACAGTATGCACATATGCCAATAACAGACTGATCAATTGCAGTCTTAAACCTCAATGGGAAGATACAAGCCAAACAATACCAAGTGAATTAACTTTTTATATACTGAGCTAGACAATCTTTCTTTTATATATTACCACCACTGAATTAACTATTAAAAATTCGGTGTTCATCATGTTGTGGTAATGAGGTATGACAACTTATACCGATTCATATGTGTGCCTTGTCCTACGTTGTAGCTGACTGACTGACTGATAACACTATAACTCCTGACTATATGGTTCATATGTATCCAGATAGCAAGAAACTCTCATGCTGAATTCCACAGTTATTGACAATTCATCTGTTCTAATTAAATTGTGGACTGACTTATCACTTATAACAATAGTAATAATGATACATGCTTTACCTAATACCATATATTTGGTTACACTAAGGAATTTCCAGCAGTACAAATTACATAGTATTAAAATAGAATTTAGATAACATAGATACTAAAGATATGAGTAGAGTGACTTAATTACCAAACCAAACAACAGTGTACATAGATCATGAGTATTTATTTATATTATTTATCATTCCTCAACGTAAATAAAGACATATGAGCCTTGACTAAAGCATAATGTACTTTTTTCAATATTAAACCTCTTACATAATATCTCCCTAACCATTTAACCATTTAGAGAAATGTAACTGTCCGCCTTTGTGCTTTAATAAACTCAGTCAAATAAATCACTGACATTATCGTTAATAAATCATCATCGAATCCCGTGAGCGGGATCGTGGATGCGCACTGCTGAGGAGTCCTACAATAGGACGAAACGGCCGTCCAATGCTTTCAGGTTTTCAATGGCGGTCTAACATCAATTGGTTCATGATCTGAATCAAAAACCAACAAAAGCACATTTACGGACAAAGATTTAGTAATCGTATCTTAAACTAATTTCTAATATCTTGAAGAACGAATCAAGGAATCGTACACTTCTTATAAACCATATTAGACTAACACTAAATACTTCGATGTTGAATATCTTTAATAAGCGTATACTTTTCAATTCCATATGTTATTATTATTTTAAGCATCCAATCAATGTCAGATGACTATTCTATTCTATTCCAATATTGATTTGTACATCAGCTGATTTTTATCATTCAGTCAAAATAGACAAATTCAATAATCAATCAATGTAAATATATCAATGTTACAGAAGGTTGTTTACAGTAGAACTAGATCATTAGTGTAATATCTTAGTTTGTGAAATTTAGTAACATAGATTTGAATCCTACTGAGAATATCTATTGCTTCAAAGTTAAAAGTACTACATCTTATTAGTTTAGGGGTTGTGGACATTGTTAAGTTTTTGATTGAGATCATGAACCGATTGATGTTAGACCACCATTGAAAACCTGGAAGTATTCGACATCTTAGTTAATGAGTGCTAACTTGCATGGAACCTAGGTTGAACAAAGTTTATTGTTGATTGACTCTATAATAGATAACATCAAATTATACAATTTTCATACAAAATCCATTGATGAATTTTAAAGCTGAGTAATATTTTTGGTTAGTCTCGGGACAGGGGGGGGCGAATCATAGAGATTGTTAAATGTTATCGAGATCACAATTGACTCAAACTATCCAATTATTTAAAACCAGGAAATCTTAAACATCAGTTTTTTCCTTTAAATGGGCGGCCACCTAGGCAGTATACATCTGCCACCCAATTGGACATCAAGATCAGAACGTTTAGATCTCTTTGTAAGCGCCTAACCTTCCAACCTGTTAGATGAGATAAATTAGTTTCTATTTTTAAATTCTGTTAATTCATTCTATTTCACAACATCATTGATAGGTAATTCTTTAACTTCCAAGACGATTGACCAATGAACATTCTCAATCTGTACAAAGAAAAAGCAAATATTCAATGCTTCCTGATGTTCACTGATTATTTATCCTAAGTTGATTCATCAAATAAAAATGTATCTGTAAATGTTATATGCTTTACGTAACTTTTTTGTTCTGATTTTATCTTTCTATTATAAAGGTGGAGGAAATCTACAAATTATTGATCAAAACTTGATTTTTCATCTAATACACAATCGAAAGTTCGATCATTTCAAAATATTAAACACGTTCCTGGTGGAGGTGATAAAAGGCAAGTTAATGACTAAATAAATGACAAATTTATGCATGAATTAGCAAAGATCAGATAGAATCTGTGATCAGTGGTGAAATGGAGAAAGTTATTCATGTTCTAGTATTGAATGATGATTGTACTATTATGCAAATTAACAGTTTGTTAAAGACGTAGCTTAATTATTGTAGGATTATATTTACTGGTTCTAAAACCTGTAGGTTAAACATTCGACCCTGTCTTTTACATCATTGGTGTACTCTGCTGAAGAGTTTCAAGCTTAGAGGAAACTCTTCAGTGTTTCTTGATCCTTATTAGTTCAACCATATCATCAGATGTGAGACAGACATCGATAACAATGTATGATACTCGGACTACAACATAACTAAAGTTAAGAATTCACGATGGTTTGAAAAATTCTATTGTTGATATTAATGGGCGAATTTTGAACATTCATTGTTGACATGTAAAAACTAGTAAATAGATTGTCTTGATATAACCGTTTTCCACATGTTCTTACAGAACAGAAGGATTATGGCTAGTATTGGAATATAAAACCCGCGTGTCGTCCTATCTGAGATTCATAAACTGGGTGCATTTTTATCGTAATGTAAATGTTCACGCTCAAATTCGAAATTATTACCTTTCGCTTTAGACCTCAATTTGTTATTAAAAACGCCATCAATTCTGAATGTACCTATGCCAATAGAGTAGTTGAAAATTTAATATTAAATATCAACAGCGAAATAAGACGAATTATTAGGAGTTGTTAGTTATCTGGACTTGGTGAATAACGCTCTGGCGTTCGAAGTGATTGGCGATGAGTTCAAGTCTGTGTAAACAATAATACTGGGATATAGATACATTTAACTGAATATCATTTGAATTACACCTTTTAACCACACTTCAGATATACTAAAACTAAAGATTGAAATGTTAACAATGTAGATTTTATGAGACTCACTTGTTGACTTAGAATACGCAGATGATATAGTTCTTTTTAGTGAAGACCCTGACAAAGTGCAGAGAATTTCGACCATTTTAAGCAACAATAAAACATTTTTGGGATGCGATTCTCACCCTCCAATTGCAAATGTTGCTCCAGGACTGGCCTTTGTTGACACCTGAGGTAATGATAAGATGTGAAGTAGTTTAGTGTGTCAATCACTTTACTCATCTCGGAAGTCTCATCAGCCCTTTTAGTTTGGTGCCTGACAAGATCTCGAAATGGATTCAGAAAGCTTGATTAGAAGCTGCCAACTTGTTTCATTCGTGACATAGATGAGATACCCATCTACCAAATAAAGGATGAGTGTACTGCGCAGAAGTTCGCTTTGTTCTACTTTATGGATGTGAAACATGGCCTTTAGAAGCAGGAGATATTTTTTAGATTTCTGATATTTGATCATAGGTGTCAAATATTAAATAACTGATCTATTGGAGTTTCATTCTCTGAGCTGAATGGTTTAATCGTGGAGCTGTCATAGTTCTTCTGATGAGACATTGTTCCACAACCAAACCATCCAACTCAAAGAGCAAACTTTGCACAAATCATCCATCTGAGCTACAGATTTTTTGTACCATTAAATTACTGACATTTCCTGACTTGGTTATATATGATTTTAATAGTTGAATTCATGAGTCGATGTAAGCTAGACCACCATTGGAAACTTGGAAGCACTGGACTGATAAATTCAACTATTAAAATCACTAGAATCTCCACAAACCTCCATTGTAATAATAATCATCATGGAATCGCTAGTGGATATGTTTTCTGAAGTTCTAGTGAGAAGCCATGACTAGTGGAGTCCAATCCGTGTCGAGTAGAGACATGTATCGTTGCACAATATCATGGATCGATTGAACTTAGGCTGTCAGCTCAGTGGTCTAGAGTTTAAGCGTTCATACGCGAGACTAAAGATCCTGGGTCCAAATCCTAAGTGTGGAATCGTAGATGTGCACTATTGAGGAATCCCATACTAAAACGGAATTGCCGTCCAGTGTTTCCAGATTTTCAATTATTGTCTAGCTTAAAATAATTCATGAATTCAACTATTAAAATCACTACAATCTGTATACCCCACCACCACCACCACCAATCTTAGTTATAAGTCAATTAAATACCATATAATCAATGTATATTGTAGTTGATAAGTAGTAAATTGAAAATGTTAATCATTACTAATACATCATCTTGTCAACTCTTTTAATAATAATGAATCTTTATATTAAATCATCTACTGTTTATAACATGTTTTATTCTTGTGTACATGTATCATATCTAACTTAAATCTACTTGACAACATAATTTTTATTGTTGTTATTTTTAAAGATAATCTAATTAACAAACTCCTGTCATTATCTTCTGTTCACAAGCAAGGTATATCACACATTTGTATACACATAAATACACAAATCTAAGTAATAAACATTGCTTTATTGATTCGTTTACTCCAATCAAGTATTATCGATTAGTTTATTGATTGATTGATTGATTGGTTAAGTGTGATTGGGATCCGTGTTTTTTAATATATTTTTTTTGGTTTATTTCTAGATACCTGTTGAAAAATTAGATTTTAAAGAGAAAGCATCACCAAAAGTTGGATCACTTGCCAATGTGAAACATAATCCAGCGGGTGGTGATGTGAAAGTAGGTGAATGTTTCTTTTCTTCGCCCATTTTTTTGTTTTGTTTAAATGAATAATTTCAAAGTGAAAAGCTGTGACTTGTGAAGTTCAACTATTATATGTGTTAAGTGTGAAAAACGGGGTGATGGTAGAGTTATATTTACGTCACTGTCGGGAAATCTTAAAGTTGTACATCAAAACAATCTATCTACATTTGATATTGAAGTTTTCTAACTCTGTTACTATAGTACACAAACTACCGATACACAAGCTCTCAACTGACGGTTACTAAGTGAGAAGACTAAGAGTGAAGAAAGAAATCATTTCCTCGCTAATAACATGCATTTACCAATTAAGAAATTTTTGTTTGACACAACATGACCTTCTTATTTGGTGACTTTTAATTGACTCATTGTATCATTTCCCAACTTTCTTCCCTCTAAGTTTTTTTTTATAATAAAAAGCTGATCTGTTGAAGTCCCTCAAACCTAGTCCCTATGATCCCGAATCGATGAAATCAATAAAATAATTACTTGACCGACTTTAGCTAAAATAATAGGGTTTACTCATCTAAGAAGCAGTGACAAGACATCAAATATGACCTTAATCTAAGTTCATTCTCTAGTCAGTTTGTTGTGTCTTACGTTAATTAAATGAGCAAACATTAAGGGTTTAATCTTCTTCCTATTTATAAAATATGCTTTTTTGAAGAATTCATCTACTAACTTGCGTAATCGAATTACTCCATAGTTTCATACACATACAAACTCTCTTCATGTGGAACTAAACTATACTGACAGTCGTGAAACAAATGAAACTAACTTATCGGAATGAATTTCATGGAAATCAAGAACCAATCAAAGTTAAACTACCATTGAAAACATAAAAACAATGGATGGCCGTTTCGTCCCAGTATAGGACTTCTCAGCGGTGTGTAGAGTGACCAGCTAAAGAAAATATTAGTCCGTGAAATGTTTAACTATGAATGATTGATACTTAAAAGTACATGTATGATAAGCATATATAAAGATTAGTAGACAAATGAAGTTGTAAGCCTGACAGACAACTGTTAACATTGTCAAATCAAATGATGCTTTACCATAAAATATAACTTGACTTAATTCAAATTGAAATGATTTATACTGAATCTCATAGCTACTACACAAGGGAATGGCTATGCGGACTCAGTAGCTAACCTGAGAACACATCCAGCTTTTGAAGCGAACGTCACTGGGTTTTAGTCCTAGAATGAATATCTATTCTGGGATTCAGGTCAATTCAGCTAATGAAACACAAATAGGATGAAATGCTCATCTTGGGTTCCACTGCTAGCTACTTGACTTTTTTTTTATCAAAGTGAAACTTTCAAGATAGATTGATAATGCTTCTTCGTTATACTTTTCAAAGTAGACATTATGTCACAAGATCTGTCGATTAGTATGGTTCATTTCTGTTGTTTATTCTTTCATATCGTTAAATATACTTATGTTCAAAAACTTGTCATAATTATTTGTACAAAAAAGTTACAATCACATACTGACGTTAATTAGACAACCATTGACAAATACAAAGATAATCAATAGTTGTTTCTTCTTACTATGAGAGTTCTCGATAGTGACCATCCACGACTCCTCTAAAGATATAACTCAGATCTCTCAGTGAGTGCTTTTTTTCCAGACCACTGAGCTTAATCAGTCAGTATGTCAGAATCAGCAGTGAGCTTTGAATGTGTGTGCGTTAGACCATATTTACATACTACATCTTTATACCAAGATGAAAGTAACAAGATAAATAACTAACAAGTCAATGATCTTAGGTAAGAGTCCTAGAACATGGAATGAAAAAGTATGTATGAAGAAATACTGAAAATTAAGATCTAGCAAGAAATAAGGAATGATTGTATCTCTCTTACTGTGACCAATTCTAAACCATATCACTTTACGCCTTCAATCAATAATCTAGGTTATCGAATGAACCCCTTAGATAATTTGTATTTACCAGTATAGGTCAGAAGAACAATCACTGGCCATCATCCACTATCTTTAATGATACTATTCTTACACCATTGACATAATAGAACTTCATCTTTTACAACTTTACTTCAACTGTGTTGGGACTGTGTACTTGTAATCTTAAGAGAAGTGGTGCTCCCTGGCAGATTCAATCCCGTGTCACCTAGCTTCACAGTCAGAGACGTTACCACCGGGCTATCCGGGCTGCGACTAATTTCCTGTAGGACTGAGATTTATTTACAACTGATTGATCACTGGGTGGTGATCAATGTCATGTGTGTCAAGTACTTTTCTGTACAGATCGAAACCTGTGTCCAGAGTGTCCTTTTGACTCCCTCCAACCACCATCTTATCTCAATACAGTACACACAATGTCGAGTCACCTAGACTAGTGATCACACTGTAACTTGGTCAATAGGATTCAATCTACATTAAGAAGGATCTGATACACATTATATTGATCACCACCCAGTGATCAATCAATTATTAAAATGTTGTCCCATATATCTGAACTAAATAACTGTTTATTAGTTATTTTAATAGTTGAGATCTTAAGTCATTTGAAGCTAGATCACCATAGAAAACCTGAAAGCACTGAAAGGCCGTTTCTTCCTATAGTGGGACTCTTCAGCAATGCACATCCATGGTCCCTCCTCGAGGGATTGGAAATCAGGACCTATCAGTCTCGCACGCTGCTGAAGAGTCTCACAACAGAACGAAACGGCTTTCCAGGGTCTTCAGGTTTTCTATGGTGGTCTAGTTTCAAGTAACTCAGAAACAGAGAAGAAAAAAAGAAAGAAAATTTTTCTTTAAATATTGAACTTAATCTTGATAAATGTCTTTAAAGTTCTTTTCTTTTTTTTTCTCTTTTTATTCTAAGATTTTCAATGAACATCTTCCATGGTTAAAATATAATAAACCAAATTTACCAGATTCAGAAAAAGATCGAATTAATAAACGATCTAATAATCATAGTTTAAATGGAACAAATGGTAATGATCTAATGAATACATCAATGTTATCAGGCAGTACAGGACATTAATATTAATTATAATTAATTATCATAGTAATCTAATCAAGATTCATTAATGAAATGATCCGAGTTTATTATCCGTTGTTGTTCTATTGAGATTTTCATTCATTTCACTTGATCCATAATAAAGAATAAACACACACACAATATACACATGTTCATATGAAATATAACAACAAGTTGATGAATAGAAAGTTTCTTTATCATTTCGTTCATTGTCATTCAATTACAACAGTATGTAGTCATTATGTTCTTTGTTGACTGACAATTTCTTTGATCCATTCAGAGTTTTGTTAATGACAATAAAGTTTTATGATTAGGGTAACACGAAATAAGACAACAAAAAAACGACCTATCAATATCATCATTTAAAAAGAAAAATAGTCATCCAAACTTTACACATTCATATACTTCAGTATTCATTCCCTCTTGTTCACATCATTACATTACATATACTCGATATATATATTTGTATGTATTAAGTTATGGGTTTGTGGGTTGCATGATATATGCATTTCTTTTTCTTTGTTTCTGTATATCCTATTCCATCATTATTCATTTATTGTTCTATGATTCAAATTCACCGCCAGAATTTTTTTTGTTTTAGAGTTATATCAACTGAAAAAAAAACACGTATTTCAAATTGTACATTATTCTTTATAGTTTTCAATTCATTATTATTATTATTATCACTACTACTATTACTCCTACTATTACTATTACTACTACCAGTACTATTTCTACTACTATTACTACTACCAGTACTACTACTACTACCATTACTACTCCTACTATTACTATTACTACTACTATTACTATTTCTACTACTATTACTACTACCACTACTACTACCATTACTACTCCTACTATTACTATTACTACTACCACTACTACTACCATTACTACTACTACCATTACTTTTATTACTATTACTACTACTACTACTAATAGTAATAATAATAATAATAACAATAAATAGTTAAAGTTCAATACAGATCTGCCCATTTCAAAATTGAATGAAATACATCTATATATATATTCCTTTACAGATGTCGATTAGTAACTACTTACTACATTTGGAACAATGAGAGGCCAAAAAAAATGAAAAAAAAAACAATGGAAAATTTACATCATCTCTCATTAGAATAAACGTAACTATTCACTATGTGTATATTTCAGTGGATATATATGTGTATTGAAGTGTGTTGATCTTGTGTTTTCCGCTTTTCAATTAAAACATTGAACTTGTTTATTGTTTCTTATTAAACAAAAAAATAATAATATTCGTTTGTTTGTTTTTTGTTTGTTTGTTTTCATGAAATCATTTCATTCATTTTCATACTAAATATTAATATTACGTTTACTATTCTATAAATATATACTATTTACTACTTTCTTACTCCTGTTACTCCCAATGGAACATAGGCTACGATCAGCATTCTTCAACCCACTCTATCCTGAGCCTTCCTTTCCAGTTCTATCCAATTGTTATTCATTCTTCTCATTTCTGTCTCCATTTCTCAAAGTAATGTGTTCTTTCGTATTCCTTTTCTTCTTTGACTATGAGGATACCATGTGAGGACTTTTGTTGTGACGCAGTTGTGTGCTTTCCTCAATGTGTGTTCCATCCACTTCCAACGATTCTTCCTGATTTCTTCCTCTGCTACAACTGGTTTGTTCTCTTCCACAGTAAGTTGTTGTTGATAGTGTCTGGCCATCGGATCCGAAGTATTTTGTGTAGACAATTGTTAATAAACACTTGTATCTTCTGAATGTTGGCTTTGGTTGTTGTCCAAGTTTCTGCCTGATACAGTAGAACTATGTTGACATTTGTATTGAAAATTCTGAGCTTGATGTTGGTTGAGTTGTGTTGTTTTGAGTTTTAGATGTTCTTCAATTGTAGATATGATGTTCTTGCTTTGCCGATCCGCGCCTTCACATTTGCATCAGATCCACCGTGTACATCAAGGATGTTGCCTAGATACGTAAAGCTTTTTACATCATCCAGAGCTTCTCCATCAATTGTGATTGTATTGTTGGATGCTGTGTTGTATTGGAGAATCTTGCTTTTCCCTTTGTGTATGGTGAGACCTAGAATTATATTTTTCATAGATCTTTTTTTATTCCAATGTGTCGAAATTATCACAGCATCATCATCATCATTTATAATGTCATGAATTATAACTATCTGTCTTCCGACCAGATGGGAATTCATTGATTATAACTACTCACTTAAACCCCGACCGTTGCTGCCACTCTGACGTAGTGGTCGGGCTTGCCCATCATGATGAACCAATCGAGTTATACTGGCTAGAACGATCATTCCTCAAGGTCCGAAGGCGAAGTTGTACTGCTGACTGTACAGAGGTGTGATGGCAGTAAGGTGTTTCCTTCAGACAGCCAGCATGACAGAGATGCTGCCTTCCCACAAGGAAGGGTGGGGTTAGAAAAGGTCTACCCTAGAAATGCACACCTCGCTTTATCCCATAGATATCCATCTCCGGCGGTAAGGTCTCAACAATTACGATGCTAACACGAAAATTACTTATGAAAAGGTCGTGTGTGACCGACCTCATGCTGTTATCCTTGGTCACTGCGGTCACGCTCTCAGGTCATTAAGACCACCTCTAATCGAATTTCCTTTTTAGGTTCCAAATGAATTTAGTCACTACTGTCGACAGGATGATTATAAATATTTTAAGTGGTATGTGAAGATTTTTCAAATAGAAGTTAATTTACGGTACAACTTGAGTTTATGTAGACAACCATTGAAAACGAGGGAGCAATTGACAAGTGTTACATCGTAACATAATAATGGCTCTTCAATATGCATGCACATACTCCTTCTCAAAGTCAACAATCTCTCAACCTGGTAATCATTTTTTGGGTTGATTTTTTTTTCATTTTTTTATTTCCTTCATTTTTATATGAGTAATTGGTTCAATTCATATTTGCCCCAGGCTCTATGATTTTAACTAACTGACATAGAGCAGTTTTTGAGACATGAAAACATATTTCAAAAAAGACCACTTGTAGACCTTAGTCAATGAATGATAAGAACCATTTCAAGTTTCCACAATCCCGCTTTGTTTGATGTTTTTACTTGTATATACCGATTATTATTTCATGAATTTCAGCATCTTTGGACATGGCTTAGAGACGAATAAAGTGATGATTTCTTCGACTAAAAAAACCAAAAGTCTATGGATGAATTAGCACATTTGATTAGCTATATAAACCCAATTGCTAAGTGGAGTTTAAAGTGATGGGTGCTAAATTGAAGTTCCAGAGTTCACATTCATTCTGGAATGTATTGATGAGTCCTAAACAGGATGGAACGCACTATGTAGATCCTATTACTAACCACATTCCATCTAGTCTCGATATACATCATATATATGTTTTGTGAAAATAACTAGATATTGACAAAAATGAGTAAATATCAGAATATCAGTTTATTGAATCAGTATCCAAGTTTACAATAAGCAGTTCTCTCACATTTCCTCTGAACTATCTCTGTTCCATATAGATCAACTATGAATTCCCATAAATTTCTTTATAATTCACTATCGTTTCATTGATTTCATTCATAAAAATAACAATGTTCTACCTTCTTTTTCATTGTCTAAATAAACTAGGCGTATCCCATTATCTTCGATTAAAGGTGAAGATTATAATATATAAATAATAGAAGTTTATAATTTACAATTGGTTGATCATTGGATGGTGAATAATATCATGTATGTCAGGTCCTTCTTAGTATACAGATCAAATCCTATTGATCAATTCGCAATGTAATCAGTCAGTCTAGGTGACTCAACATTGTGTTGATGGTGGTATTACATGAAATAGCTTATTATTCACAAGAGACTTTTATATTAGAAATGGTAGTGTTTTTGGATATTCTAAGCTAGTTTGTTGATGATATTTTTATGATTAACTGATCTGACTCTAATTTAGATGAATAGGTTATGAATACAAATCTTCCATTTCACTGCGTTTATTACTTGGGCTAACACTGTTCATGTGTTGACAGTAATAAGAAGCTCAATACAAGTTTCATTGGATGGATTTATTTCAAGCATTCGCCAGATGCTCGGTATAAGAAGCAGAAAATCAAAGCGGAGCTGAGTAGGTGAGTGAACCAACTCAAACTGATCAAGTATGACCCAATATCACAATTGATTGATCACTGAGTGGCGATCAATTTCATGCGTTTCTAGTCCTTATTAGCGCAGATCGAATGCTATCGATCATGTTGCAATGTGGTCACCAGTCTAGGTGACTCGATACTGCGGGCACTATATATTGAGATACTCAGAATAAGAAGCGGAAAATCAAAGCGGTGCTGAGCTGAGAAGGTGAGTGAACCAACTCAAATTGATCAAGTATGACCCAATATTTATAGTCTGACAAAAATAAGTTACATACATGTAATGAGTAGGGTAAGCAATTAGGACACATACGCCCATAGAAAAACAGTGAAGGTTAATAAGCAAATAATTAACTAGGTCAAAATTTGGCTTGAGAAGAATGAATAAATTGGTCTTTCTAAAAGCTAAAATAACCTATGTGGGTTTGACATAGTACCAGATTCTAAAATAGTACGTAATTTGTCAATATTTACAGAATCGGTTGGAGGGGGAAAGTAACTTATTAAAACATCAATAAATCAATAAAATGATAAACACCTTAGACACTAATGAAAGTTGAAAATTGTATGGTACATGAACACTTGATGGAGTTGGAAGAAATTTTGTATTTCAAAACTTTAGGGCATAGATTACAAACTTCGTCAGATGTTCACTAGAACTTAATGATCTTCAATTACTTACTTACTTACGCCTGTTACTCCTCGTGAAGGAGCATAGGCCGCTTATCAGCATTCTCCATCTAACCCTGTCCTGGGCAATCCTTTCCAGATCTTTCCAGTTGTTATTTATCTTTTTCATATCTTCCTCTATTTCCCAACGTAATATGTTCTTTGGCCTTCCTTTTTTCCTCAATTT